ATACAGGTGTGGAAGTAAGAAACATTAGAAATAGAAAATTCACACATTTTGAATTATTGCGGAAAATATTCAGGCTAAAAAATCAAAACTCCCCCTGTGCCCTCCTCCACGAGAGGTGGAGGCACTCGGAGTCAAGGCTGTCGATGGTCCCTCGTTCGAGGGCTGCTAGGGAGCAAACTGACGGAATTGGATTGTATATGCTTAAAAATGTCAAGAAAAAAAAATGGGATTAGAAGTCGCGAGGAATTTTGAGGGCTTACTTTACTTTTGAATCGTATAAGTTCATCTTTGCAGGTGGTATCCGCTTTTGCGATCACGGGTATAACATTTACCCGTTCTGCGAGCCGTTGCAACGTCACCACATCAAGCGCTTTAAGTCTGAAAACATACATATTTAGAATGAAGAAACAAAAATTTAACAATATTTTATTAAAAATTAACCATTAAATTATGAAATTAAGGAAACCGAATGAGGCTAATGCAGGGACAGTGACAATCTATACACAGCACGTGTATTATCTGGAGAACGAAAATATTACCGCCTAATAGACACATTTTTCAGTTTTTCACAGCTAATTTCATTTCATCTTTTTATTATTTGTAACATAGATATACTGTCCCACAGATTTTATGTGACTTCATCACTGCATGTTCGCATTTTAATAGTTTCTACCTCACATTTCCTGGCCGATAAACTATCTCATTGCAGTCTAGGGAGAGGCAGTGGCGATGCTCAACAAACAACAAATGACATTTTGGAGCGACCTAAACCCTACATCCTCTGTGTTAAGTATCGAAAAAGGAAGCAAATAGTGCAGCGCTGTTGTCGAAAAAAAAAAAAAAAAGACTGGCAAGACGCTTCCGGACCGCAGCCATCAAAGTGATATATACGCCGGATGATGACCTTCAAAGGTAAGATAACTCGCAACGCCCCCTTACTCGCCTATCACTCCGCATTTAAACAAAAATCCTAAAAATTTGAAAAAAAAAAGATTATTTTCTTCAAATTTTCTGCCCCAGCAGTACGAAGTGTGCTTGCAGCAGAATATAAATGCAAATAGTGCCCGAATCGTAGTAACAACAGCGCGCAAGAAATTAAAACGTCCTGCGAGAGAAACAGTTGGACGTCCTTCAATAGGACAAAGCAAACGAACGGGTTGTGTGAGTGTGCATGTGTTTTTGTGAGGGGGAAGGCTAACGATAGCCATCACTGCGTATTTTATTCAAATCGGTTTCGTCACCGCATCGGCAGTGTAAAATGCAAAGGGAACACAAGCGGAGAGGAACGGAAGAAGGAAGGAGAGGGGAAGTGGGACGTGATCAACTAAGCTGATAGAAATGCCAAAAAACGAGAAATGCATATCGCTTTTTTTTTTCTCAAACACTCATAGAAAAATGTTTAATAAGAGCCAAAAAATAAAATGTGAAAGTCA